TTGAAAGATTTGTGCGCAACCATGCAAAAACGACTTCAGCTTGATGATCCAAAAAGGAGTGCCACTCCAAACTGAATACAAGCCGTATACTGGGGTCAAAGGACCGTGTAGCTATCAGCAAGGCCGTGGTACTCTCAGCTCGACAGTCAGCATTCCTGCCGGTTTTCAATCCATGCAGAATTATTTGGCAACTAAAGGCCCGCTTGTTGGAAGTTCGTTTCCATGAATTTCTTTTCATATTGCCAGAAAAAGAAAGAGGGAGAAGTGGACAGGTAAGAGAAGAGAAATGAAACACCGGTAAATTAAAGCAAATAGAAAATTTTGCTTTTTTGAATTGTTCCATTTTGCTGTTCAAAACCTAGATCACGCTTGTCTCCAAGGCAAATAACTTTATCCCGTAGCAAACTCACATAGTTTTACCGCAGTCACTGTTTTAAAAGCGCACCATTAAATCCCGTCATTTTCTATGGTTATTCAGACCACGACATTATTTTCATCAAAAAAATTGCTCATGAGTCCTGCTGCAAGAAAATTTTTAATGTTTTCTTCATTCCTCATCTGTAGAAGGTATGACTAACTTTGGTACTTTGCCCAGTTGTACTTCGTCTGCTTCACCAAATCTGCAGCTGGTAGCTTTTCTAGACGCTCAGTCCAGCGTAGAAAGTGCACTTTTCCGGGTTAACTGCCTCTAAATACAAATTGTACAATTGAACTCGAACGCCGATAACACAACCGCAACATCTCAGCAGCTAATAAAAATTTAACTTAGCTCGGTTAAGTTGCGATGCAAGTCGCAATAAGTGGGGAATGGGAAAAGCAGAAGAGTGAAGCCATGAAAGCTGGGAAAGGGCTGAGGGCTTTGGTGATAATCTGGATCTTCGAGCAGTAACGGAGGAGAAGGGACAGAGTTATTGACTAGAAGGAGCTGAGACATTGCTTGACGTACGAGATGAAATTAAGAGAGGAGTTTCTGGGTGAGAGGCTAAGTAAATTCTTTTATAGTTAGTCTGGAAGTTGCTGCTGTAGGGACAAAGCAGTTTAATAATGCGACACTTAGAATTATGCCTAAACAAGAAATTTAGCGCCACAATTTTTGCTGCTCAAACCCGAACTCAAAAGTGAGTGCATATTGCGCGGCCTTCCAGTCGGTTTTCAATAGTTGCTCATCATTAGTTAGTAAGTACTACGCTGATATGCACATTATATTTATACTATTTGTAAATTACTCGTACGCGGAGGTTTTATGAGTCTTGTATTTTCCAGTGGTCAGCTTGTTGCTGCGATCATCAAAGTGAAATACACAGAGTGTAAATTTCTATTATCCGCTATGGTTATGAAAGAACGCCAATGGCGTATTTTAGTATTACAAGAAGGTAGAAAAAACTCATATTGATATAAATTCAAGAAAATGTTGCTGAACAATCCTGAGATCTTTTATTGTAGCAGTTTTGGTCACACATGCAATGCAGTACTTCAAAGGTGGACTGGTCTATCGGCCAACACAGGCGGAATGCGCCTCTAATGTAGGTGGACATGCTTGGCTCATTGCTGGCCTCGACTACGAAGGCAACAATCCCTATTACATCATCAAAAACAGCTGGGGAACGTCGTAAGTTTTATAAAAGCGCTCGAATCCCAAAATTTGATCCTAGCGCCTTGATTTGTTCAGGAAAACAGCTATAGTTAACATTTATTGCTGGCATGGTGCAGTGGCAAGAAATCTGCTAGCTGACGTGGCGTCAAGGCAAACAGCAATTTTCTGTGCAGAAAGCCGAGGGCTCGAACAGTTAGCTGCAGCTTCATCGCCGTGTTGTGGATATCCTGGAAACGGTTTTAAAGTCAGCAAACACTTATAGATATCCTACATCTTCAGCGCCCAGACTCAGTACACATTCTGAGCCAGGTCTTGGCAGGAGAAGAGGATTTTGAATGGGATTTCGCAAAAAATCTCAACAAAATTGGTCATTTCTAAAGCCAAAGGGCTTTTTCTTTTGACTGAAAAAGCAGCTTTTTGAGCTTCGTTTGCAAAGAGTTAGAGGATATTTTCAAAAACCCATCGATAGGATGATATACTTTTGAGATGGAATTTGTGGATTTTGTAGTGGACTGTTCCTCTTTGCATCACACGATGATACTCACTGATAATTTCGTGATCTGCAGATGGGGCGAGCAGGGCTACATTCGTTTTGGTGCTGGGCAAAACCTCTGCGAGTCCGAAGAACGAAGCTACGGCGCGCAGAAGTGAAAAGCTGAAACAAAGCACCAGCAACTTCTATGTAGTATCACTGGCACCATCCTTTATTGCTGTCACGATGTGTTCGTAAATTATGCAAAAAAGTTTAATATTTTTTAAGTTATAAAAATCAGTGCCTGTGGAACACATAAAATTAGCTTGTATATCGTGCATATTAACATAGCTTTGTTCGGCTTGTATTTGTTTATAAATTTCACTGCTAACCACTTACTAAAATTCAAACAGCCTGAGATCGGTTTCGAATTTGAACGAAAAATGAGGAGGAGCACCTTCACCACAACAAAGCAAGTTATCCACGACGGCTCTCAGACGCATCCTTGCTTTTTTTGGGGCTAATTTTCGGAATTTGAGCACCTTGGCACTTTTGCCAGTACTCGCAAAATGAACTGAGTAAAAACTGATCACAGTTGAGTTTTTCCCATACTTTAAGTACCTTAATGCATCCGTTGGTGCTAGCGAAATGTCAACTAAGTATTTTAACTCCTCTGTCAGCACTTGTGAAATATGAATTGAATACCCACATGCTTCTACCAGCATTCGTTGTACGGAAATTGACTGCCTTTGCGGTACCTTTATTCTTCCAGAAGTATTTTTAGATTGTAAATTGCTTTTATTATCACAGGCAAAAATCCTTAATATCATTTTCCAGTGCCGCTTTTTTAAATCCTACTTATAATAGCATTTTAACGAAAATTAAAATATTGCAAGCATACTGCTTTAAAAACTGGTGAGACATAGTGTCAGATGAAAATTGTAGGGTAAGATATCAGGAGAAAAACAATGATTTAGGCTTTCATGCTTTACTGTTCTTGGCCAAATGGCCACAAATTGTCGGATTCTGGGTAAACAGTTCTTTGAGCATAGGCCAACACTGTTTTAAAAGTGCCTTCTTATTAAAATATCATTTGTCTAATTATTGATGGCTTTGTCTGCACAGTTTACGATGCGAAGAGGACGATTTTTGACGTCTAACTATTTGTTATCAGCAAAGCTGATTGTCTAGAAAACAATAACAAATAAACAACATAAATATTATTTGCTTGCACAGCTGCACTGGACGCAAAATACGACACTTTCTCAAGGTCACATGGTTACGCAAACCCTCAGCCCCATTCGCCGAAACTTCCCTAAACACTGAATTTCAACCATTTCATGTTTCTGGATGACACAGAGCAAAAGTCACATATAACATCTGCTGCATCTCATTTTTGCCTCCAACTGATAAAATTATTACAAGAAATTTTACTTGGAGCATGCATATGAAATGCTAATACCACATGCATACAAAAAACGCAGCATGCAAAACCTGACTTGAAATTTCATCGAAACAGTGCGGATTTCTGCACATCATCCTTCTATCTTGTTATTTCATTTAATTAACCAGGAACACTACAGTATCATGGATATTTGCTTCAAAGGAATGAAGTTTCGATGAGTTGTTTGATAGATCTCTTCCGCCCCTCCTCCCTTCTTTCCTCTTTCTCGCACCTTTCCTGCTTTTCCTCTCCATTTCCCTTCCTTTCTCTCCACAGTTCTAATTACTGCTATGAGTCCCACAGCTCTGTGAATTTGTGGATACTGTTTTCTGCCAAAAACCCATGTTTACAACAGACGAGACGAACTCAAAATATCAGGAGACAGTGTTATCAAATGAGAGAGATAAGAGGACTTCCAAACAAAATTGTTTTCTTTTGATATTTTGAGAGATAAGAGGACTTCCAAACAAAATTGCTTTCTTTTGATATTTTCATTGCGACAAACAGTCTGGATCCTGCTTGTATCACCGCTGTCTGGCACTCTATTCTTGGTCTTCCAAAGCGAGAACTCAAATGTCAGGGTAATAAGCCCACCAGAACAGTCGGTGTGAGGTTCTCACTTGCTGGGATGTTCTCCATACGCACTGTGCTAGAAATGTCCAATTAGAAGAATTTATACGGCTAGCATTCTTGTAACGGATAAGATCTTGAAAACTAAAGAAG